TCTTTGGCAAAGTGCCACAACAATTTTGTGGTGATTCAGCCCAGGACAATATGCCTCTTGGCTAATCAACATCTCTCTCTCTCTCTGTCCCTGTCTCTGTCTCTCTGTGTTTCTCTCTGTCTCTGTCTCTCTATCTGTCTCTCTATCTGTCTGCCTGTCTCTCTCTTTTAGTCAGGCCCATTGTTGTTTGTCCTTCATTTTTGGTGAGACCAATGATATCATAGGGTGATGTCTTGGCTTGTGTGTGAATTGGATTTAAGTGAGGCAGGGTTGCACAAACTCATCAGCCTCTCTCTTCCTCAGTCATCAAAGTCCAGGGGCAAGACAAAAAACCAGGACTACTGGCAATGGTCCAGGATACAGTGGATGACCTTGGTGTCTTCAATACCTGACAAAGCTGTAAGCGCTTCACGATGCCTGCTTCATCCACTTTTATGGATGCTGAAACAAATTGTGCTCATTTGCTTTTTCCACCAGGGGAAGTCTTCATGGGTTTGGAGTGGCCACGGACCGGTTTGAGGCCTGACCTTCAACCTACTTTAGCCCTCTGCTGAGAGGGTTTTATCTCGGTGTGGCTGCTGCCCATGCTACAGCTTCTTGGAACTACAGATGAGAGTTGAGTGAATCAGGTAGGCAGCAAAGGTAGATGAATAGCCATGAAAAGAGTTTAGCAAGCCCTCACATCAGAGGTGCTAGTCTTCCCTGAACACCCCATATACCCCAGTCAAGCCCATAGCCCCATCTGAAAGATACACAGAGAAGTCCCTCGGCCAGCTATGCAGACCTTCCCATTCACTCTTCCCAACTGATGCTCTCTAACACTTTGTCATAGACGGCTTAGAATGACAGAATTCCTCTTACCTGTTCTTTGCAAAAGAGTTAACGTGTGTGGTGATTATATTTTCTGATTTTAAAAAAGGTCAAAACATAGTTCTTTTGAAAAGTTCAATTAAAAGTACTTATTTTTTAATTGTAAAAAAATTAATTGATGCTTTGAGTTTTTTTAAACCCATTGCTCTTACTTCCAATAATCCCTTACCAAAAACTCCCTCCCTTTAATCCAAAAAGTCCATATACTTTTTTTTCTTAAAATCAGCTTCTAGGTTTGCTTTATTTATGTCACTCAGTACACAGAGCAAAAGACTACCAAGATAGTATTTACAATAAAGACGATAACCTAGAGAATTTGGAACTCAAAATTATAAAAGCAAACATTAAAAATTATTTTTACATATAATTGGGGAAAATAAAGTGCTAAATAATTAATTTTTTAAAAGATACCTCAGGAACTAGCTAATCTAAACCCCTCATTTTACAGAAGAAACTAAATCTCAGAGATATGGATGTTTCTCAAAAGTTATGCAGAGTTTACTGGCACTTTTTCTTCTCCTGGGGGGAGAAACTGGGGCACAGAGCAGTTAAGTGATTTGCCCAGTGTCACTCAGCTAGGATAGTGTCTGAGGCAAGATTCAAACTCAATTCAAACTCATGTTTTACCCGATTACACACACACATAGCCTATATTAAATTGCTTACCATCTTAGGAAGGGGTGAGAAAGGGAAAAAATTTGGAACTCAAAATTTTACAAAAAAAAAATGTTAAAAAAGTCTTTCTGACTCAAGTCCTGAGCTCTATTGTCTGCATTACCTGCATCTAGCACTGTAGGATTTGATTTTTTCAATGACAGTAGCAGTCATTATCTCCAAATTGTATCCTCTGCTCTGTTTAGGGTATTAGCCATAAGGGTCAAGAATTGTCCAAGAGTAGGATGATTGCAGGATCAGCCATTTAGAACTGAAAGGAGAGAGAAGAATTGATGGTAAGGTGCCCCAGAAGGTGCCTTAGCTTCTTCATCTGTAAAATGAATGAGTTGGTCTGGTGACCTCCTTGTGCGAAAGTATAGAAGCTCCTTCAGGGCAGGGGCTAGCCACTTTATCTTTCTACCTCCAGACTGAGAGTAATGCCATGCATAGTGTAAATGCTTAATAAGTGCTTGTTGTATTTGTACTCATATGGAAACAGATCATTGCGGATCTCATTGGTCCTGGACAGACAGTAGTAGATTAGATCAGGAGTTGATTGTGAATTGAGCATTTCAGGGAGAGGTGAGGGTATGCCTCAGCCCATTTGTACATGTACATATGATAGAAATTCTTTAGTTCTTTAGTTATTCACAACCCTTTCTCCTTGGCCCATCTAATTAGCATAGTAATAATAATAACAATGAATAATAATAATAATAATAATAATAATAATAATAATAATAAAATAGCTAAGTATTTATATATGGCTTTAAGGTTTGTAAAGTACATATATTAACTCAAACATTTGATCCTCCCAACAACCTTGGGATATAGTTGCTATTATCCCCATTTTACAGGTGAAGAGACTGAGGCAGAGGGCAGTTAAGTGTCTTGCCCAGTTCACCTCGATAGGGGTGTGCCTGAGGCAAGATTCAAACTCACATCTTTCTAACTCCAAGTCCTGAACTCTATCTACTTCATGAACTGCATCAAGCATGGTATCATTTGAATTTTTCCAATGACAGTAGCTATCATACCTGGCCCTAAAAATGCAATGTGTGGAACTGTATCCTCTTCTCTGTTTCAGGGCTTGGCCATAAGCAGTAGGAATTGTCCAAGAGGTGAATGACAGCAAGGTCATCCATTTAGAACTGAAAGTAACTCCTTCAATGTACAGATGAGGAAACTGAAGTTAAGTGAATTGACTAAAGTCACAGAACTAGAACAGGATTTGAACCCATGTCTTCCTAAAGTCCAGGATTCTATTCCTTATGCTCCTCCTTTTAGAGATGAAAAAAGGTGGGGTTAATTGACTTGCTGAGTAATGTACTCTGAGATCACAAAGGCACTTTTCAGCTTCCTTTGGAACAAGGCATTTATTTATATAGCATTTTAAGGTTTTCAAATAATTTTACATGCATTACCTCATTTTATCCTCACAATAAGGTAAGTGCTATTACAACCCTTATTTTAAAGATGAGCAAATTGAGACTGAGAGTTTTTAAGTGACTTACCCAGGGTCACATGGCCGGTCAAATGTCAGAAACAGGATTCAAATCCAGATCTTAACTCCCCTATTCACTGTATCTTAACTCAACTACTTTTCAAGCACATGAATGCAAGCAAAAAACATGAGTTCAGTTGTTTCAAAGTTCAGAGTAGTTAATGCTTTTAAAAAATGAATGGGTGGTGGGAAATAAATCATTTTTAAAAGAATGTCTTCTTGAAACATTAATACACTTCTAAGAAAAAAGAAATTTTGATCCTGGAAAGTAAGTTTACGAAAGTAACTGTTTTGATTCTATTTGGTACACACATACACACACACACACACACACACACACACACTCACACACACACACACACACACACAAACAGCTTGGAAACTTCTCATCTTCCTCTACATAATAGAAAGCGAGCATGGGCTGAGGAGGGAGGGAAGGAGTCGATGGTCAGCCCTCCCCCCCTCTCCTCTTTGATTAATCAGGGGCAGAATCGTGCTCCTGTTTTCAGGGAGCTTTCCTATCAGAGCTCTAATCTCTGGAGAATCCAAGCCTACAAAGCGATAACATCTGGTGCCTATTATTTCCCCAGATCTGTTGTGATTAGTCCATATGATAAGTCTGGCCAATTGCTATTAGGGTAAGATTGCTGCACTCCCTCCGTCAGGGGGCTGAAGCTGTCACTTCTGGTCTGTGGCCCCTGCTAATTTGCCAGCACAATTTCCAATATCTGCTAGAATCCCACAAGGAAATCTCATTGCCTTGCAGGGGCAATAGGCGAAGTCATTCCAGACAGAAGGCTAGCACTGATAATAGAAGGAAAGGTTTATCAATTAACTCAAGCAGCTTTGCTTAGACAGTGACAGGACCCCTCCTTGTCATTTCAGTTGTATCATGCTTATGGAGCTGTGCAAAGATTGAGTTGTGGGATGCCTGAAACAATGAATTATCAGTAAGTTGCAATAGCAGTCAGGACAGATGATGAAGCTTTCTAACTGCCTCCTCATAGGGAAGTGATGGACTCAAGATACACGATGAAACATACATTTTTGGACATGGCCAGTGTGCCAGCTTGTTTTGCTTGACTATGCATATTTATTACAAGGATTTTGTTTATCTTTTCTCCCCTAAATTCAATGGGGAGTAGAGTAGGAGGGAGAGAAAATGAATACTTGTTAATTAAAAAAAAAAGAAAAAGAAAATTAAGAAAAGAAAAACAGTTCTGGCCCCAAAATGATCTCTAGTACTAAAGAGACTCCTTTAGCTCTCCAAATACTTTCTCTCTCCTCTCTACATCATGTCCACCCCCAATCTATGCTGGGCAAGCATAATAGTGGTTTGTCATCTGAGATGCACGAAAGGGATTTATGATCATAAAAAGAGAATTTACACATGGTGCTGCAGAAGTTATTAATATCACCTATAATATTACGTGTAGGGAACTGTAGGACGATGAGGACCACAGGCTGTTCATGAGACTTCACTGATGGGCGAAGGCCCCTCTCGGGTGTTAGTACATGTGCAGAATATCCTGGCTCAGTTCTCCGTCCACAGACCTTGCATTCCCCAATCAGCAGAACTCTGATACTAGGCAAGCTCAAACTATAACACAATGTTGCTAGCTCAAGCACAGTCAGCTCTAGCACAAAGAGATATCCAGTATTGCTAACTTATGTATCAAGTATTGCTAGTTCACGTATCAAGTATTGGGAACATTCCGGGAACGAAAAGTACATGGTGTTTTACGGGAGCTGCACTGGAGAAGGACACAGTCAGGATAATGTTGCAAAGAAATGTACTTGCGGATACTTTGATTGCTATTCGCATGGGAAAGATGCTCGGTGTTGCCTATTGGTAAAGATATGTAAACCTTGTTGCTTTGTTCACTGTTACATTGAGGTATTGTTCCCATGAGTAAAAGATATAAAACGCTGAAGGCAGGACCAGAGGGTAGTAGTAGTAGTACTAGTAGTAGTAGGGGTAGGAGTAGTAGTAGCAGTAGCAGTAGCGAGTAGGGTAGCTGCGTAGTTGATTACCCACTTGAGAGAAAGGCTGAATAAACCTTTTGAAACTACACCTCTCTGTCGACTCCACTCCGTTTTCCGGGGACGCCCCAAGACTGCAGGTGCAGGTGAGTATGACTCAGGCAGCCCTCCTCAAGTAACGAGAACCGTTACAATTACCTGTGCCCCAAACCCATCTAAAGTACAGATTAAAGAGACTTCAGCTATAGTAACTATTATTTATATACTACTTTAAGTTGTACAAAGTGCTTTGTGATTATCTCACTTTATTCTCACGATAGCCTTGGGAAGTAGAGGCTATTTTTAATTCACATTTTATAGAAGAGGAGCCTGAGGCAGAGACTAAGTGACTTGTCCAAGGTCACACAGTAAGTGTCTGAGACTGGATTTTAACTTGGATCTTCCCTTACCCCAGATCCAGCACTATCCTCTACATCACCTGGGAAAACAATCAATCAGCTGTTCTGTTAACAAAAAGAAAACCCCCCATCATTTTAAATGATCCCTCCTCCTTGATTGAATTGACAGGTTGTTTCCTATGGGTAGCAGGCTCCAAACAGAAAGGAATTTGGAGGCAGAGATCACAGAAACAAAACCAGTCCCTTAATGAACAACCCAGAAATTGATTCACTCTGGATGTGAGAAAATCTATCACTTCTTTTTGGACCTTCATAGCCCCATAGTACTTTTCAAATGTAACTGATGGTACAAACTTTCTGAGAAGATGACACTTCCTCTTTGTTCAGAATTAAAATGTAAAAGTAAAGTATGTTGTTGTTTAGCTGATTAGTCACATCCAATTCTTACTGTCTTCCCTTTTTTTCTAATTCACTGTTAATTATGACTCATGTTATGATCGTTATGGCTGTTCAGTCATTTCAGTGGTGTCCAACTCTTCTTGATCCCATTTGAGGTTTTCGAGGCAAAGATATTGGAGTGGTTTGCCATTTCCTTCTCTAGTTCATTTTCCAGATGAAAAAACTGAGGCAAACAAGGTTAAATGACTTGCCTAGGGTCACACAGCCAGTAGAGGCCAGAAGAAGGACTTGAACCCAAGTATTCTTGACTCCAAGGACATCTCTCAATCAAGTATGCCACAATACCTTTAATTACTTATTAGCACAGATAATTCTTTGAGGATTGAGAGTTAAGCATCTTCCACCTTTCCCATGTCAAGAATATCTTTATTTTTCATGATAACACCAAAATTTTAGAGGTACTATGGCAGGGTGGATAGGGGGCTGGACTTGGAGGACCATAGTTTGAAACCTTCCTCAGATACTTATTAGCTGTGTAACTATGCAAGTAATTTAATCTAATCCTCAGTTTCCTCATCTATAAAATGAAGGGGTTGGATTCAACCTCCATAATCCCTTCTAGCTCAAAATTCATTTGAAATGATGATTCATGTGAAATTTAAAAAAAATTATCCAACAGTATCTTGGCCCTAGTGGTCCTCATACAATGGACTGAATTTGTCATCTTTCATCTTGGCAATTTCTATTGTTCAGTTACAGATAAAAAACTCATATGACATCCTGTCTAGGATTACTTCGTCTACTCATACTCAAACTTTGTAGGTTGGGTCCCCAAAGAGGCAACTACAACTTTTAAGATTCTATAGGTAATGTTTGTGGGTATCTATACTCCTGATACTGTAGCTCCTGGGCCTCCAAAAGACATATTTCATTTTAACAATCAATCAGGAAACTTAATTAACTCTTTAAAAAGGCATTTACTCAAAAAATAAGAACAATAGTTACAAAATATTCTTCCTATGGACCTAGGGCACATTTTCCCACCCATAGACACAGAGTCTGTTGGGAAGGTGAGCACAACGTAAAGTATCACGATAGACAGGCATATGTATAGGGAATACATGTGGCCAAAGCAACTTAGAACTCTGGAAACACAGGGCCCCAATGTCTTCCTTCCTTCCTTCCTTCCCTCCTTCCTTCCCTCCTTCCTTCCTTCCTTTCTTTCTTTCTTTCTTTCTTTCTTTCTTTCTTTCTTTCTTTCTTTCTTTCTTTCTTTCTTCCTTCTTTCTTTCTTTCTTTCCTTCTGTCTTTCTTTCTTTTTTTCTCTCTCCCTTCCTTTTTTCCCTTTCTTTCTCTTTCTTTCTTTCTTTCTTTCTCTCTCCCTTCCTTTTTTCCCTTTCTTTCTCTTTCTTTCTTTCTTTCTCTCTCCCTTCCTTTTTTCCCTTTCTTTCTCTTTCTTTCTTTCTTTCTCTCTCCCTTCCTTTTTTCCCTTTCTCTTTCTTTCTTTCTTTCTTTCTTCTTTCTTCTTTCTTTCTTTCTTTCTTTCTTTCATTGGAGAGCTTCATTGTGTTTCTCATTGGAACTGTTCTCACAAAGATAATCAATCAATATTTTTAAGCATCTATTATATGCAGGTGTACTAAGTTCTGTACTAAGTTCTGGGGATACAAAAAAAGTAAATCATAGAAAGAAGGAAGGCACTGAAATTAGTAGTGTTTGGGGAAAGCTTCCTGTAGAAGACAGGATTTTAGCTGAGACTTAAAGGAAGCCAGGGAGGTTGGTAGTTGGGAGTAGAGAAGGGAGAGCATTCCAAGAATGGTAGAGAGCCAGGAAAAAGTGCCTGAAGCAAAGAGATGGATGTTCATGAAACACTGGATCAAAGAGCACGTGTTGGGGAGTAAGGTGTAAAAAGGCTGGGAGGGGGGAAGGGGCCTGTGTTTACAAAGGGCTTTGAGTGCCAAATAGAGCATTTTATATTTGCTCCTGTAGATAATAAGAAGCCATTAGAGTTTATTGAGGGGTGTGTGTGTGTGTGTGTGTGTGTGTGTGTGTGTGTGATGATCAGGGATGTACTTCTGGGAAATCACCTTAGTGGCTGAATGGAGAATGGGTTAGAGTGGGGAGAGACTTCAGTCAGGCAGACTCACCAGTAGGTTATTGTAATATTCAAGGCATAAGTGATGAGGGCTTGCACTAGAATGGTGGAAATGCCAGAAGAGAGAGAAGGGTACTTATTTGAGAGATGTTGCAAAGATGAAATCAGCAGGCCTTGGCAACGTCTTGGTTATGGGGAGTGAGAAATAAGGAGGCTTCTTGGGTAATGCCTAAGTTCTGAGCCTGGGGGACTGAGAGGATGGTGTTGTTCTTGACAGTAATAGAGAAAATGGGGGAGAGGTTAGAGGAAAAGATAAGGAATTCTGTTTTGGACATACTGAGTTTAGGATATCTGCTGGACATCCAGTTTAAGATGTCTGAAAAGCAGTTGGAGGTGCAAGACTGGAGATCTGCAGAGAGATAGGACAGGAAAGGTGGATTTGAGAATCATCCACATAGAGTAATTAAATCCACGGGAGCCAATTAGATCACCACGGGAAGATTCCATTGGGAAAATTCCACCCCTCACCATCATCACCCCCTACACAACATAAGCGCCTTTCCCTCCCACCCCAAGTTTACCTCATAGCTTTAGCAAACTACTTTGGAGGGCAGGCTCCCTGCTTTGCTCTGGGCAATGACCACTGAGTAAGAGCTCCACAGCTCCCCTCTTTTCTCATTTTGGGTAGGACAGATGGAGTCACAAGGAATGAGTTGATCTGGAAGAGTTGGGATGTGGATCATGGTTCTTACCTTTCCCCTAAAATCTATCCCTCTTCCAAACTTCCTTGTTACTGCTGAGGGCACTACCATTCCCCTAGTCACCTGGGATCACAATCTTGGTCTCATCTTCAACTCTTCTCATTGAGCCAACTGGTTACCAAATTTTGTAGTTTCTACCTCCACATCTCCCACATCTGTACCTTTTTCTTCATTCACTCTGACAAGTCTGGACTATTATAATAGCTTCCTAATTGGTTTCCTTGCCCCAAGGCTTTCTCCACTCCAATCCATGCTCCATTTAGCTGCCAAAGGGATTTTCTTAAAGCAGAAGTCCGACAAACATCTCCATGCAGTAAACTCTAGTAGCTTTCTGTTGACTCTAGAATAAAATATTATTTTATCTTTATCTCATTGCCAGTTGTCTTGACTTTTGTCTTGCCTCTGAACTTTGATGACTCAGGAAGCAAGAGTAAGGCTCACGACTTTGTGCAACTCTGTCTCATTTAAATCCAATTCAAGTGCAAGTCAAAACATCACCCAGGTTGTCACTGGCCCTTTTCAAAAATGAAGGATGAACAACAATATCTTTCTTAAATTTCTATTTTCTGTAAGTTTTAAAAGTACACAATTATTAGTACAGTACCACTAGTTAGTAAAATCCTATTTTAATTTACAGGTAGGTAAATACATACATATGCTCAAAAATATTTACTGACAGGGTTGCACGATCAAGAGGGTTTGGAGGTGACTACCTTAGAGAGTTTCCTGGGGTACTAATAGTCAGGATATGTCAACAGCTGTGGGTCTGAGGCAGACACACAGGTTTGTCTAGGTCTTCCTGATAACAAGGCCCTTTCTCCTGTCACTGTGCCACATTGCTCTCACATTCTTGTTACTTTTATTATCGTTGTCATCCTTTTTCGATAGGGCTCAGAAAGAAATGAACCACAGTTCATTTTGTATTTTTTTATCTATTTTATTTTTACATTGTATTTATTTATATATGTATGGTTTTATATTTGCATTATTCTCTAGAGTCTAGACTATCACCCAGCTGGATCAAACAGCTGTTTTTTTGTAACTGAATAAAAGTATTGGGATGTAAGTTTATCTTTTGTAGGCACACCAAAAACATTTTGGGAATAACTCCAGTAGTAGAGGGAATGATGGAGGTGATATGCACCTTATCCTTTTCCCATATAGTTTTGTTTTCTTCATCTCCATCTCTCTGTTTTCAAAGTTTTTCATTCTGTATAGCCTGGGGAGTTTGAGTGTTTGATAAAGTGATGTCTATGAAAAACATTGTTCTTAAGTTGTTGTGGATCAATGTCATTTCCAGGAAATTGTGAGCAATAGTTTTGACTGTTCTTACTGTTCTACTGTTTGGAGTCACGGTCACCCAATCCTAATTTAACCACTTACCCTCTTTCTGCAAGGCATGTATATTTGCTATTTACCTCGAAGACTATCCACAAATCAGAAAAAATGAAGAGTTCTGTATATCCAACAGCAAAGGAAAGTGGAAAATTGAT